ATCAAACATTCCTCCTCCTGAGATCTGAAGATAGCAAAGAGCATTCCACGAATACAGCCTCATCCAAGCCAATCCTAATCTGCCCATACACAAAGGTCTACAAAAACTACTGAACCGTTGAAATCGCGTAAATAAGTTTTTACCACAATTTGGGCCCTTGTGGATTAAGGCTCTAGGGCCTCAAATTAATTGTGACATTTCAGCGAACACGAATATTCAAAACAAGCACCTGATTGCCACTGATCTCGCTGAAGAACTCCAGGATTTTACCTACCTAAAAAGCAATGGATCCACATTAAATATAATCTGCAATTCTGACAGCAGATGCGCTCTTTACCTTTACAAGTGGAAATTGAAATAAATCCCAGAATGCAATTACAGAAAAATTGAACCAACGCATCAGCCACATGGTGAACCTCTGCCAAACTCTTACATTAAATGGAGGCATTGATGCAATCCACTACACATCAACTGAAGCCATTTCTGGACATAGACTTACAATTTGCTATTCATACAGCCATATGCAAGAAGAAGACTGGTGCATTCTTATTGCCAAGCTGAATTTTACATCCATAATGCAAGAAACCAGAGGCTTAAAATGCGGGGGTAATTTGTGGCCAAAGTAGCAGTGTTTTGATTTGCTGCCTTGTGGTTATATGTATTTAAATAGGTGCGCTTAACACAATGGTTCGCGTCTTGCTGTGTTTTCAACATACCGTTATTTTCTATGCTGTAACTCACTACCTTGGGGTAGTGTTTTAAATATCTGCTGTTCTACTTTCACTCGTTTGAGTTATTGGAGGGACTAGTCTCTTCCATATGAATGTGGAATACCAGGTATAAACACATCCTGAAGTTTAGCTGTCGACTTTGCAACAGTGGCATTATATGGCAGTAGGAAGTAAGTGACGTCGAGGTACAGTGGCATCAGCAATATTGGTTGTTAGTATCTGCCAATCTGTGTCTTCAATGATGCCCTTTGAATATATACCGCTGAAGATATGGATCCTAAAATAAAAATCATACAATGGCCTCTTAACCCAGACTAGGATTATTCTAAGCACCATGAACGGAGTAGAACATTTCACCTTCTAACAATTGTTCCAACACCTCGCAGAAATAAAAAAAAAATAAAGCTGCTATTACCCAAAGCATCGTACACGAGGGTTTATCTTTGCACATAATCGTTGATATGCTGCTAACCTTATTGATGTTCATGCAAGCATGGCAGTATAATATCGTACACAGCCCATGCATTTTTATTTCGGATCTATGGCTGTGTTCCGAAAGTGTGTTTCTTTTCCAACAATAGAGGGCTTTTGTTGATTCTCAAAAAATAAGTGTCTGTTTGAATACAGAGAGGGAAAAAAGTATTTGATCCCCTGCTGATTTTTTACCTTTGCCCACTGACAAAGAAATTATCAGTCTATAATTTTAATGGTAGGTTTATTTGAACAGTGAGAGACAGAATAACAACAACAACATCCAGAAAAAGCATGTCAAAAATGGTATAATTGATTTGCATTTTAATGAGGGAAATAAGTATTTGACCCCCTCTCAAACAGAAAGATATCTGGCTCCCAAGTGTCTTTTATACAGGTAACAAGCTGAGATTAGTAGCACGCTCTTAAAGGGAGTGCTCCTAATCTCAGCTTGTTACCTGCATAAAAGACACCTGTCCACAGAAGCAATCAATCAATCAGGTTCCAAACTCTCCACCATGGCCAAGACCAAAGAAGTCTCCAAGGATGTCAGGGACAGGATTGTAGACCTACACAAGGCTGGAATGGGCTACAAGACCATTGCCAAGCAACTTGGTGAGAAGGTGACAACAGTTGGTGCGATTATTCGCAAATGGAAGAAACACAAACGAACTGTCAATCTCCCTCGGCCTGGGGCTCCATGCAAGATCTCACCTCGTGGAGTTGCAATGATCATGAGAACGGTGAGGAATCAGCCCAGAACTACACGGGAGGATCTTGTCAATGATCTCAAGGCAGCTGGGACCATAGTCACCAAGAAAACAATTGGTAACACACTATGCCGTGAAGGACTGAAATCCTGCAGCACCCACAAGGTCCCCCTGCTCAAGAAAGCACATATACATGCCCGTCTGAAGTTTGCCAATGAACATCTGAATGATTCAGAGGACAACTGGGTGAAAGTGTTGTGGTCAGATGAGATGAAAATGGAGCTCTTTGGCATCAACTCAACTCGCCCTGTTTGGAGGAGGAGGAATGCTGCCTATGACCCCAAGAACATCATCCCCACCGTCAAACATGGAGGTGGAAACATTATGCTTTGGGGGTGTTTTTCTGCTAAGGGGACAGGACAACTTCACCTCATCAAAGGAACGATGGACGGGGCCATTTACCATCAAATCTTGGGTGAGAACCTCCTTCCCTTAGCCAGGGCATTGAAAATGGGTCGTGGAAGGGTATTCCAGCATGACAATGACACAAAACACACGGCCAAGGCAACAAAGGAGTGGCTCAAGAAGAAGCACATTAAGGTCCTAGAGTGGCCTAGCCAGTCTCCAGACCTTAATCCCATAGAAAATCTGTGGAGGGAGCTGAAGGTTCGAGTTGCCAAACGTCAGCCTCGAAACCTTAATGACTTGGAGAAGATCTGCAAAGAGGAGTGGGACAAAATCCCTCCTGAGATGTGTACAAACCTGGTGGCCAACTATAAGAAACTGTGATTGCCAACAAGGGTTTTGCCACCAAGTACTAAGTCATGTTTTGCAGAGGGGTCAAATACTTATTTCCCTAATTAAAATGCAAATCAATTTATAACTTTTTGACATGCGTTTTTCTTGATTTTTTTGTTGTTATTCTGTCTCTCACTGTTCAAATTAACCTACCATTAAAATTATAGACTGATAATTTCTTTGTCAGTGGGCAAACGTACAAAATCAGCAGGGGATCAAATACTTTTTTCCCTCACTGTATGCTGAAATTGACTTGGTAACAGCTGTATAGATATATTTGTTTATATATAACCTGTACTCTGAAAGCATACATGCGGGATTAATCCTCATAGAAATAAGACGTATATACAAAGTTAAAGCGTGTAGCTCAAATAAGTATTGGGGTGATTATCATCTCGTTTGGTATACCTTAAAGTAGTGGTGGAAATGTCACACTCCCACATATGCTTCCAGTCACTATAGGATTACCAATGTTGATTTTTCAACGAGTACCAATGTTATGTACTTCTTCCAAATGAGACAAGCTCTCTAACCATAGTGCAATACAATTTGACAGATGCATATGACATCTAAAACCCTAGTACATCATAAGACTCGCTATTGAGGCAATAATATACCCTATAATGCATTCCTAAGCCTTACACTAATCATACCCACCCCGAACTTTGCCATTTTCCAACGAATTACTTTTTTCACTGAAATGACTTCTCTGTCGCAAGTAACCCACTTTCCACTTTTAAAAATATTCCATGTATTCATATATTGCGGTAAAGATATGTGGTGCAGTGGTTATCACATTGCACTCTGCGAAATTCTGACGAGAGTTTATTTCCAATGACAGCTAACATGAGCAGCGAATGATATGTGAACTGGTGCTGGACCTCCTCTTCACCAACCCACATTGACCAGGATGGTGAAGTATAGTCAAATAAACCCCCAAGACCAACGGGCGGGGGTGGGAAAGACTTCATTTACCTAGGAGCAGATTAACAAAGGGCCGCAATGAATGCATTTGAATTTTGAGTTGTATCCCATTGGAATGTACAGAATTAATGCATTATTGTGCTTTCCATTTGGCAACATGTTATAGCCGCCTGAGCAAGTGGTGAAAACGTCCATATTTTTTTTATGGCAAAGGCCATTGCCGTCATCGTACAACCAATGATGACACTCGCTCATGTTCACAACCCCTGATGGCAGGCCAAGCCAGGGTCGGGATTTGACCTCGCAACCTTCCCAACCGTGGTGCCATTGTCGCCGCCGTCTCGGGAACAGCGCCACCTCCGTCGTAACCCGCTAAGGTGAATCCACTCTCCATCCCTGGCCAGCCCGGTTGATGGGGACGGTGAAGGGGGAAAATCGCAGTGTGCAGGGCTCCAGAACAGACGCGCAACATAGAACTGCGCAATGCCACGATCCGCTCCGCTGCTGCACCTTGTCACGATTACGTGAAATTGTAGTCGTTACCACCGCATTCTATTCCATTCCATTTCGGATACGTCAGCGATGCGTAAGACGGCGGAAGAATGGCTCCAGTGGCCATCAATTTTAGCAAGGGGCTGTGCCCTCCGAGCGCGCGCGCGTGCTAAGAGCGAGCGGCCCGCGGGGGGCCCCGGAGCTGTCGCGCCGCTCCCCCCGGCACCCCCTCGGGGCTCGCTCCGCGTGCTCCCACAGGGGGCCCTGCTGCTACCCACGCCTGCGGTGGTGGTGGTGGTTGTTGTTGTTGTTGCTCAGTTACCATGGCGGGGGGGGGGGAAACGAGCACCCGAGCTCCGAAATGTGGGTGAAACCTTTGTGTAGTGACCGAGAAAATGACCCCAAGGCATATTCAGCCTGACGGCTATTTAAAAATAAACAACTACCGTCTCCGATTGGAAGAGGCCTCCACGGTGACTGATCGGGAGGCAAACTTGGTGATTCAGGGTTGAACGAGAAAACATAAATGATGCATTAAAGGGAATGTGCAGGGATTGACTCAAGGTTAAAAAAAGAAGGTTCGAGAAAGGGGACTGATGGACAAATATAAGGGGAGAGGCACCACGAGGAGTGTGGGCCCTTGGAAGACGATTCAAGCAGGAAGACAAGGACGAGGCCCGTGGACCCATTATTGTGGACGTCTTCAGTCGGGCTTCCTGAATCCTTATTGTGGAAGTCTTCAAATAAAAGTGGCTCTTCTTATTACTTTGTCGGCGGAGTCGTTAAACATTGCGTCCTTTGCAGCTTCGCTCTTCACTTTGACCCCCTTCCACGTCGACGCGTTTTCGTTAGCACGAGGTCCACGTGCGACGTTGGTTTTGAGTCATTCGTGAAATTGTGGTGGCGGTGGTGGGCGCGAAGGGGGTTGGGTTTAGCCACGAGGGGAAACCTCTCTTATAGCTTCCTCGTGTAAATACAGAACTCTAAATGCCGTCACATTTCCCCATGCACACAAGCCCTCTCTTCGGCAGCCGTCCATTGCGTTTCCGTTTCTATACATTGACGTGTGTGTACGTTCTTAATGCCTACTCATTGTATATACAGCGTATTCAAAGGCACATGTATACACATTCATTGAAGCACGCGCATGGTTGTTACTATATGTGTTCAACGATGATATATTAACTTGTATACGTGTGCTATGTGTCTCTGTGAGCATATTTACATCCTATTGTACGGGTACAATTGACAGAACACTGCGTTGAGCATCAAACGCGACTGCCACGTGTTTTCACGTGTGAGGCTGGGCAGTTCTGGCTCACACCTCCTGCTGGGCAAGTGGAAGGCTCTTCTGCCTGTCAAAGACCCAGGGCTAAGGGGTTGCTCCTCTCATCTCATTGGCTGGCTCACACTGACTGGGATGTCACCAGGACATAACCGTGTTTAATTAATCAAAAGCAAACGTCTGTAGCCTCCCAACCACACCAGTGACAGCCCCTTCAGTCGGAGGCCAATCTTGGATTTATAGCGTGCACATGCAACACATTCACCCGCGTTCGCTACCCAGGCAGTCCAAGCGAGTGAGGAGGGATGGGGGTTGCACTGAATGGATTTTGCCACCCCCTTAAAAGCAGAGAAGTGGAAGATTCTGGTCATGTGACAGCAGAGTAGATAAAAGGGGCAGACGGAAGAAACTGGAGCACTTGAAATGTCTCAAGCCCGAGGTGGAGCGGCTTATTGCAGGCGAACCAGCGAGGCTGCACTCGATATTTTGGGATTTACTATCCCATGGACATCTGAAGAGTCATCCAGAACGGGTAAGTTGTGGACTTTGTATCTCATTTGGCTTTTGGCAGGACTATGGACACTGTATAGAAGACTTGCAAATGGCTACGTTCTCCTGCATAGCACTGTTGGACTAAAACGTTTGCTTATATTTTCAATGTGGATGCACCAGGTGAGCACTTTTTTACTTGTACACATTTACCATTTTGAGGAAAGTGTGTTGCTAAATCATGGTATATCGTGGTGGAAACCATCAAGAGTGTCAATATAAACGAAGGCGCCACTCAATAGTGTATTGTGAACTGAGATTTGAGAGTGAAAGCAACAACAGGTGGGCCCTTGTAAACCATAATACTGTAATGTATTGCAGTAAAGGGCTTGTTTTTTCAGGCCTGTAATCCATACAGAGCCAGAAGGGTGTTGCAAGAACATCAATCAGATACATACAATATCAACATTTCAATGTCAAGTTCCAAGAAAAACGTAATTTCTCTTGACAGGTACTGGAATAAGTCATATTTCATTGTACAATGAGTAACCACCACCTGGCAGGGCCTGTCAATTTGAAGATCTTTTCCTTTGATCTAAACTCCCGTGAGCTAGGGATGGTCTTCAGACGTTTATTTTGGCGTCAGCTCAGACCAAAGGAATGATGAAAACGTCAAGACATCACTTCTTCTCACGCTATGGTCTATGAATTATGCCTTGGAGACGTTTTCTTGCAAAACAGAGCCACCTGCTCAGCCTATCAGAGGCCTGGGACCACTTTTCAGGCGGTTTGTGGCTTCTGAGCAGGCTTGTTAAACCATAAACACACAATAGTGAGGCATGCGAGCATAACCAAGCACATACAAACCCTCTGGCTGAGTCTCTTTATTGCATTTTTTAGAAAAAATATAAATCTGTGTGGTTTAACTAGAACATTGTGGCCTTATGAGAGAAACAGGTGGCCTGGGAGGTCCCAGACTTGAAGTCTCCACCTGGATTTCTTGGACGGAATGGAAAACAGTCTGCCTCAACATGTTCCAGAAGTCCATTGTTTGCAGACTACTGAGTCTAAAATCACCAATTTGCCTAACTTTTCTCAAGATTTATTGGAGAATTCACAATGGCGGCTGGCTCCATGGGATGGCATGGCACGGTGCAATGGCAGCAGTAGGCTGTATGGCTTATTTTGGGACGATTTATAGTGTGCATTGTAATTAAACCCATGGGTTTTAAGTCCACGGAAAGTTATAAATAATACATAAAACATCTCCAAGAGTTAAAAACGCACAATTACACACACTAGTGTGGGGTGCTTTCAATTCGGTGGTGCATTGGACATTCTTTTTCAACTCATCAAGAGGCAATTGGCGGGGTGGGAGGGGTGGTAAATTTAAGGGCACATTTCTTGAACAGAGGGTGGTTACAACACAAAATCACGATGCCATGGCAAAACCTCGGCTTATTCATTTTATTACACACCCCCCCCCCAAAAAAAAAACTTTATTCGGACAAACGGTGAACAAGTCCACGGACCACAATACTGCAATCCATGCTCGGTGTGACAGCGATTGCATTGCTGCGCCTGTTGGTGGTGGGTGCGGGGTTTGGTGTCCGCGCGCGTCTCGACGCGAGACGGGGGTGGGGGAGGGACGCTCTGCTGTGGATGGAGCTGAGACAGCTGGCTGCGCCGCGAGATATCGCGCGTGACAAGCAGGGCTCGGCGTTGTGGCGGTGTCTCTTCTCGGCTCTGTGATGTGTTGGAGAAGCCAGCCCGCCATGGGCCCCGGCACTGTACGCCGCGGTTCGGGGACCCCAGGAAGCTAAACACGCCGGGTGACCCGGAAGCTCTGCCGCCGCTCATTCCTGCGCCTCGTCTCCTCGCTCGTCATCATTCTCCGCTTTTGTTTTCCACCTCTTCTGGAAGACTCGTCTTGTCCCGCCACCGCCTCCGGAGGGACGCATTTGGCTGCGCCGCTCTGGGAAGAAAGGCGATTGTGTTCCCACCCCGCGCCGTCTGCGCTGGCGGGCGAGGCGAAGCGCTCGCCGCCAGCCCGCCCGCCAGCTCCGGCTCTGGCTCCTGCCGCTTCTGGAAGACGCGCGGCGTGGCGGCGATTGGGGGGGGGCGGCTTGAGACTGCGACGAGCAAGCGCCAGCGAGGGGGGCTCGTGAGGGGGGGGGGCTCGTGAGAGGGGGGGGGGCTCGTGAGGGGGGGGGGCTCGTGAGGGGGGGGGCTCGTGAGGGGGGGGGGCTCGTGAGGGGGGGGGGCTCGTGAGGGGGGGGGCTCGTGATGGGGGGGGCTCGTGAGGGGGGGGGCTCGTGAGGGGGGGGGGCTCGTGAGGGGGGGGGCTCGTGAGGGGGGGGCTCGTGAGGGGGGGGGGCTCGTGAGGGGGGGGGCTCGTGACGCCTCTCGCGAACTTTCTGTCTCACGCCTGCACCGGCGCCAAGCCGCGCGAGCCGGGACGGTGCGTGGAGGAGGGTTGGCGATGCGCACGAGAAGCTGAACGCAACAACAACAACAGCAGCAACAAAAAGAGCAAGATATTCTTGGTTCTCTCGGTAAAGTCACGTTGAAGGGAAACAAAATGAGTTCGTCGCTCGAGACGACGACGAAGATTTCAAAAGCGCGCAGCTCCCGCGGCTGACTGAATCTCGTGGGGGGCAGGAGGAGGAAGCGTCCCTTGTGGCTGCATCGCCACAGCGCCTTGTGTGCGTGGTGGTGGTGGGGGGCTCTACAACTCACCGGCCACGTTCTGTTTACGTGACAAACCTTCCTCCTGTATCGATAGGAAAGTGTGTCTGCAGTATGGGCGGGGAAGCTAATGTTTATGTAGTTAGACAAGTAACTCAAACGCAGCGGGTCTACAGCCAAACGAAGGGGGCGCCAGGCAATCATTGCACCTCGCTCCACACACACCACGCTGCTGATGGTGGAGGTTCACAAGAAAACACAAGTCGTGACCCAGAGTGGTTGATGACATCTTTACAATGATTGCTGAGTCTATAACCATCTCGGTTGAAATTGTGGATGGATTCATGAACGAATCTTTGTTGATAGTCCGTAGGCTTGCAAAGTACCATCGTCTTAGAGAAATCAATTTCGTGTGAGCCAGCCACATTAAATAATGATCGGCCACGGCACAAGTATTGGTCCTGCCGTGTTTCAGATCTGCCTTATGTTCACGAACACGGTCTTGATACAAGTCACTTAGTTCCCCCAATGTAACTACTGCCGCAGACACTGCTTCGTTTGTAGACGCCGGGATATTGCATGTCAGGGATCTTAACAGATGGGATCAGATCACGAATTTTATGTTCTGTGTTAAATCGGACCTGGATCTTGTGTTCATGATTTTGGAAACTTTTTTGGTTACCCCTGCTATGTATGGCAAGGTGATGGTTTTGATTGGATCCTCAGATGGCTCATTCCTCACGGTTGGGGTGATGGCTTTGCGGATTGTGATCAGTTTAAAGTTTTAGAGTAAATGATTGTGCAGTACTCTACACTTATGTCAAAGTCAACTAAAATTACATTTTAGAGCATAGCATATTGACTTGCCTTTTGGAGCAATGCTTTCCAGTGACACTTCGCAGATAAATTGTGCCAGGTTCCAACTTTTATATAGCTCATGAGCAGTGTTGTCTTAACAAAATAACGTCTGGATGATGTTGGCGGTGGTGTTTAATGTCTATCTCGGATCAGATTGCCATGCTGACAGCAAGGCCAACGGGTATGGCAAGAGGCACTTTTGGTGAATCTGCCCCTGCTTGCAGATCCTCTTGTTGACATCCCTTATTCCTCCCCACCCGAAATCACTCCCACCACCACCCCCCACCACCACCCCCCACCACCACTTCCCACCACCAACACTCGCTTACATCGCTGGACATCCCTGGAGGCAGGTTTGGCGAGTGAGAGGAGGATAGCTTAAAGCTGATCCTCCCGGTTTCAACAGTTAACATGTAACAACACAGCAACAGACATTCACTGTGAAATCAATCCTGACGGTTTTTTTCAAGCCACAGTAGTGTTGAGTGTGGCCATGCAACCCACAGTATGGACAATATATTGTAAACCATTTGTGCTCCTTCAATGGAGGAGGAATAGCAAAACGACACGAACTCTCCTGTAGCCCTCTCGTGGCCAGCATACCTCCACATTGGCATTTAGCTTGTGAACATATTACTGCCATCGTACGTAAGAAGAGAATGCTTTTTTTTACTTAGGTGAATCACTGGACATGCTGTGTTTTATTTGCAAATAGAGCTATAGCAGCAGTTTCATTTATAAACGATATGTCTGGTCACAACTGAGTGTTCCTGTATGATAAATAACTCATGAAGACAAGAGTCTCGCTCATCAAAATAAATAACATTTGTACCATCAGCCTCCTGCACCGATGCTTTCCAGCAGCATTTGTTTGAAACAGCCAAGCTTTAGAGTCTCAGCAGTGTCAGGCCTGTATAAACTCTGGCTATATTGTTTCAGTGACATTCCTGTTTGATAAGCAACTGTTTGACAAATGTATTTTCTTTCTCTGCACAGCATTTCAATTCCAGCAGCTGTCATCTTTCAGATGTGTGTCGTGTTAAAATTTGGCCAAATCAAGTATAGGCACACTCCAGGGAATGAAGTCAAAGGAAAAATTGCAACATGAGTGCGGACTTTGAAATTCCATGGGGCATTCCTGGACAAGAGTGGCGATTTAACTTTTTGAATCATAAGTTGCAACCCCAGGGGCAAACAATTTAACCACAAGCCTTTTCGGCTATTAAGAAAATAAGACCCATAATATAAATTAAAATGATGGTCAACAATAGACAGATCCAACAATCCACCTCTTGGGTAAAGTTAAAACTTGTTGTTCGTTAAGGTCCCTTTTGAGGAACAAACTTAAAAAGTTGGGTTAAATGATTTTGCTTTGATATCAGTCAATATAAATGGCTCATGTTACATGTCATCTTACAAAATATTAACACACCGTAGTGTTTATGGAATTACTGCCAGTCAGATCATAGTTAAGTCTCTGCTTAAGCAATTGGGTCT